TATTAGTAAGCATTGCTCCAATTTTTGTCATGGCAGGGTCGGAAGATGATGAGGGTGATGCTTGGCTTTTCTTGCTGGAATTAGGATGATAATATTTTTGTTGTGGTGGGGTTTGCTGTTGTGGTTGTTGTGGAGGTGGAGGGTTTTGTACATTGGTGCTCCGGTATGAAAGATATGGATGGTTCTTATAACCGGCATTGTAGGAATTGGAATAAGGGTTATTCTGCCTATAGGTTTGAAAGGCATTAACTTGTTCCATAGAGCTCCTACAATCTTGCTTCCAATGACCTACAATTCCACAATTTTCACAAAAAGCTTCATTGTTAGCAACAACAGAAACATTAGCTACAGAGTTAGGAGCAACAGTAAGATTATCTAATTTTTGACAAATAGACGTTAATTGAGCTTGCAAAAAGAATACAGAATCGACACTATGTTTTCCTTTATTTGCAAACCTTCTCGGATTCCCATATTGGGAATTGTATATTGCCATGTCTTCGATAACCTGTCCTGCATCGTCCACATTTAAATTCATGAACCTCCCACTAGCTGCAGAATCTAGCACTGATCTAGAAGAATTTCCAAGTCCATTATAGAATGCTTGGATTAGTTGCCATTGTGCTAGATTGTGGTGGGGGCATTCTCTCTGTAGATCCTTGAACCTCTCCCAAGCCTCATATAGCGTTTTGTCGGCCTCTTGAGCGAAGTTTTGAATAGCACTTCATAGTACCGCTGTTCTCTCTGTAGGATAATATTTATTATAGAAATTCAAAGCAAGAGTTTCCCAGTCAGTAATACCAAGTGCAGTTCTATTCAAACCATTAAACCATAATTTAGCTTTGCCACATAATGAAAAAGGGAAAAGAATCTCCCTGATTTGGTCTTGCGTGACCCCGACTTGTCTAATGGTGTTACAATATTGGCAGAAATCTGCGATGTCAAGATTAGGATCTTCACCCTTAGCTCCACTGAATTGCTTCCTCTCTATCATAGTGATAAATTAAGGCTTGATTTCGAATTGAACTCCATCTACTGCCGGAGTGGGAGTAAGGTGCGGGAAATTTGTGAGCTTCGGCTGCGAGTAGTCACTGAGTTTCTTTTGGGCCGTCATCTCTGATTCTGAATCTGAAGGAATATCTGTGTCACTAGAATCAGAGGGAGGATCTCTTCGACTGTTGTCCTCCTCAGAACCCGCCAGAATTTGTCTATAGATTTTCCTTTGCCTATGAAAAGAGCGCTTGATCTCAGGATCGAATGGGATGTAACCTGATCTGGAACACCTGGGCATAAACAAGGAACTAAAAGACAATTATTAGAATTTCCTGAAAGAACTAACGTTCTCTGAGACAAAAGGGGATAATCTAGACTACAAAAAAATAATCAGAAAACAAAAATAAAACCGTTTCCCTGGCAACGGCGCCAAATTTTGACAGGGTAAAGTCGTATCCCCTAATCAAAACTAAATACCTAAGTCCTCTAACTAATGTAGATAGGGAAGTAGGGTCGAACTCCACAGGGAAACAAGTATTTTTACTCCTAATTAATTATTATAATCTAAATTATCTAAGTAACCAATATTTTTGGGAATAAAATATATACTACGAAGAATAAGTTTAGGGAGAAAAAAAAACAATAATAAGAAGACCTAGGGTCACAGGTTCACCAATAATTAATATTATGGGATAAAACATAATAACTAATAATCAACATTGCACAAATAACATGATCAACAGGCTCTCTTAATTTACTAGATCTAAGTTCCTATTAAAAATAGCCTTTAATATTAAATTAACATATGCTCGATTCATCAATTCAATATTGCTAAACATTCACAATCAAATTACATCTGCTCGATTCATAATCTAATTGCAAAGAATTAAAACAATTCAATAAGAAATTATCATGCAATACCAATAATCAATCATAACAAATTATCCCTTCATATTAATTATGGATCCCCATAAACCCTAGAATGAAACTACTCAGACATAATCATAACTAAACTAATCAAATAAATAAAACAAAACATAATCAAAGAAGTAAATGAAATAGCTGAAATTAAAGGAGAAGAAATTGTTACCAAAGGAAATCTTGATTAATGGAAGTAATTAAGAAAAAAAGTTGAGAGAGAATTTAAGAGAGAGAAATATCCTAAGTAGAGAGAGAAAATCTAAAAAAAAGGTAATCCAAAATTACGTACGTAATTCTTATTAAAACAATCCTCAAAACAAAAATTAAAACTAATCTAATCAGGTCTGAGAAAAACACCCGCCCGATCGGGCTAGAGGCCTCCCGATCGGGCGCGCCTTTTTCCTTGCGCCTCTTCTTAGCAGCGACGCCCGATCGAGCTTGATGCTCGCACGATCGGGCGCGCCTTAGGCCACGCACCAGCACCAAATGCATGCCGCGCCCGATCGTGCTAGCTTTCCCGATCGGGCCCTTGCTTCTCTTCGAGGCTTGGACTTCGATTGGGCTTGATTCCTCGGCCCAATCCGGATTCCTCTTCGGGTCTTGAATACTCGGTCCAAATACCTCGGTATTCCGATTACCGAGCCCTTAACCACCGGCTCGATGACTCTAACCGGCCTTGGGCTTCAAAGATGGTCGTGCTCTTCTAATTACCATAGTCGCTCCATGAAAAACCCGAGAATGCTCCAAAGGTGCAATTTCCTACAAAACTCAACAAAGACTACGAAAACACTAGAAAACACCAATTAGCAATAAAAGTGGCTTGAAAGAGCCAAAAACACTACTAATTATGACCAAAGGACAGGGGTAAATTACTATATAAAATGGACATATCAACTTCGTAGTCATGTAAAATCTTATTAGAAAATACATATATTTTTATTTATTTATTTTTCATTAAGGAAATCGACGAAAATCCTTAACAAAAACTTGAGGAAAATTTCATATTTGCTACCAGCCAAGGCACTGTATTTCATATTTGCTACCCCTTTATTTTTTTATTTTATATTACTACCACTCAAACTCACTAACTGTAGAAATAACTACCACCTGAGTTAGTCCATTACTGTTTCTGTCAAGTGGGGTCCACACCAACGCCTACTTCCTAATTCTTCCCATTTAAATACGATTGTTCATGCTTTGCCTTTATTGTAATCGTTCTGCCATCAATTGGAGCAAATTAAAACACAAATTCATCAAATTAAAACAGAAATTCCATCAAACAATCAAGATCGAATTTAGTGATATTGGTTAATTGGTGATTGTTGGGTTAAATTGCCAAAAATTGCGAAGCGGGAAAAGGTTAGTTCTTTGGTTTAATTGAACAATTTAAGCAAGTTTTCTTTAATGATATGATTAATTAGTAACTTTATTAGTACATTAGAATGTTTTTTGGATCAAATCGAATAGAGGGGGATGTAATTTGCACTAAATTTATGAAAAAGATATTAGGGTTCTTGAGTGTAATGTTAATTTGGGGGTTTTTTGTTGGGTATGACAATCATGAAATTGAATGGGTTGGTGGGTAAATAAAGTATGTAATGTTGTAATAATTCATTAATTTTGTGTATTTTAAGTGAATTATGGCTTTGGTTAGGTGTTCACCCTTAAAATACAAGAAGTGTGATTGTAGTGTACCCATGGCAAGGCTAACCTCATGGACTAGAGAGAATCCAAGCAAGAATTTTCTGAGTTGCAAGTTCTATGATCCCAATACTGAAACAGGGGGTTGCAAGAGCTTTGTGTGGGTGGATGAAGATGATGGGACTTATTGGCAAAGGGATGTAATCAACCAATTGATCCTTGACAAAAAAACTCATGAAGGGTGTGATAAGCTCACTGAAAACAGAAGTGGAGGATCTTACTGGTTAGAGGGGGTGCCTCCTCAGTGAGATTGACAACCTGAAGCTAATGTGAAAAGCTCTGAATGGTGACAGGAGGAGGTACTCTAAAGAAGGGCAGCAGAATAGGAACTGGTTTGGGAGTTTAGCTGTAGGTATTGTCTTTTGTTATATTTTGATGATGCTAGGGCTGTTAGTTGTGGTTAAGAAAGCTTAGGTTAGTGTAGGGTCTATGTTAGTAGGTGTTTATTGTTATGTTATCAAGTTATCAAGTGTTATTGTAGTAGTTTAGTCTGCTCTAATGAAGTGGACAGTATGAATTTGTAAACTCTTCAAGCATGAATGAAAAATACAAATTTCATGAGATAATAAACATGTTTTTTCACCATTGCAAAGTCAAGTGCTGTAATAAGAGTTACAAAAGGATGCAAATTAAAAGCACCAAGTTGTTATAGATCCTTAAATACAAAAATTGTTCAGAATTGAGTAAAACAAAAGTCAAGGGTTAACACAAGGCACTTAAACAGAAATTTCAAACAACTTTGTTCTTTCCCTTATCCTTTGACCTTGTTGTGGTTGTTGAGGCCTGAGTATTTTGGCTGCAAGTTACAGGCTGTGAGCTTTGACCTTGTTGGGAGTTTTGACCTTGTTTCTTCTGTTGCTCTTGTGGAAATTTCTTGTTCCCAATACTGTTTGGCCCAACTGTAGCTCCACTCTGTAAAAACTCACAGCATACAAAAACATAAGTCAATTGCAGGACATAAACTTCAGTATTTGAATACAAAAAGTGACAGGACAGTTAGCTTACATTAGCAGAAGCCCTCTTAAATTTCTTTCTCCTCTGTTCATTCAGCCATGGTGTGTTGAGGACAGGCTTGGATGACAGAACAGGCTCAAAGGTTGTTGGGGCTTCAGTTTTTGGTGCAGATTTACAACTCTTGCATAATGACCAAGTGTACCACATTTTCTGCACCTTTTTTGGAATTTAGGGCCCTTTTGATGTGGCTTGTTGCTGCCTGATGCCCCTTCTCCCTTCTCTAGCTTCTCTTTTTGGATTTAGGCCTCCCAGGCATCACTCTAACTGCAGGTGGAAGGGGTTGTCTCAAGTCTATCTTCTCCCAATGCTTGGGGCATGGCATAGGGTTGATTGCATCTTGATATGCAAGAATATAGGTTGCCTTACTGTAGTAATTAAGCATCCACATAGTCATCTGGATCCACCCTTTTGTCAAGTATACAGGCATAAGTATGTACACAAGGTATTCCAGTCAACTGCCAGTGATAACAGGAGCATGCCTTCATCTTTAAGTCAACAACCACCTTATCCCCATTCAATTCTATTTTATAGTTATCCACTCTAGACAACTGCATAATGCAATATCTAGCAGCCTTTTCAATCCTTCCAAAAACCTTACTCACATAAGGCATGTTCTTTCCTTCCATATTTCGAACTGCCTCCCACTTTTCACAGTTCCTCTTCATCATGTAACATCTCAACCACTCCATCTGAGTGAGAATGGGCTTGTCTCTTGCATCTTTTATAACAGCATTGAAAATTTCACAAAGATTGTTTAGCAACATATTGGACATACACCAATCAGAAAGGCATGTCTTGACCAGTGTGATGGTGAGATATTTGCTAAGTACTCATATGCTTCTTCTGATAAGAACTTAATAGACTCCATTGCAACCTGAAAGTCAAACTATATCACAAAACCAATAAACTATGATAAGACACCTGCTAATACAACACAAAGCATATGAAAACTTTTTTATCACAAAGACAGACCACAAATGATAGAGCATAATTGTAGATGAAATAGCCTTACCAAAGTGGTTGCCCTTACTGCATTCCAAAATAACTCCTTGAAAGTAGATCCAATGAATTGGAGATTAAAATTAGCCCAAATATGTCTGACACAGAATCTCTTCTCAGCATTTGGGACTAATTCATCAAAGGCTTCTAGCAGACCCTAAAGATAAAATTAAAATAGAAACAACTCAAGTGTTAGATATACAAAATAGATAGAAATACAAAGTAAAACAGAATAAGTTGAGTGAGAGAAACTCTAACCTTTTGTTTGTCACTCATAAAGGTCAGTCTTAATCCTTCATTGCAATCACGAACATCCTTTTGCAAACACTGAATGAACCAGCACCAAGTGTCCTTATTCTCCACCTCCATTGTTGCCCATGCAAAGGGGAAAATATGATTATTCCCATCCTTGCCAACATCCACAAGTACTTGACCAGGATATGCCCCTTTCAAATGACAGCCATCAAGGCCAATGAGAGGCCTACAACCTTTGTTAAAACCTTTCTTTAATGCTGCTAAACAGATGTACATCCTCATAAATAGAAGAGGTTCTGGTATGTCTGCTCTCTCAACCACCACATACACCCCACTTTTAGGATTATACTTGAGCACAACCTTGCCATAATCCCAAACCCTTTCTTATTGCTCTGCTGCAGAACCATAGATCATGAACTTTGCTCTGGCTCTTGCTAGCCAAGCCAGTTAATACCCAATGTGTATTCCTAAACCACTAAGAACCCTAGATCTAAATGTCTTGATTTTCCAACTGGGATTGCTTCTCCACTCCTCAACATACTTCTCTGCCAAGTATTCAGATGGAATACATGCATTCATCCTTGATCTCATACACTTGTGGTTTAACCTCAGCTCCTTGATTTGCCAAGCATAGCTGTTGTACATTCTCCTTGTAGACACTTTAAACTCACACTTCTTCACTCCCTCACCACATGCATGTGCATTGAGGCAAGTTGCTTCTCTTAGGATTCCACTCACAGTTACACCTTTTTCTACAGAAAATAGTGATCCTCTGACCACCATTGTGCAAGAAATAAAATTTATACATGTTCTCTACATCATGAGTTCTAAGTGCTCTCCTTAGCACCCCACTATTGCTAAACTTCTGCCTATCTAAGAGTACAACTGGCTTCTTGAAGTCAGTGTCTTCTCTGAACCATGGGCTTGTGTCTTCTTCTTCATCTGACCCATAAAGACTCCTAAGTTCATCTGAGTCACTTCCCTCAACCTGTAGCTGAAGATCTGCACACCCAATGTCCTTTCCTAGTTGCTTTACTTTTTTTTCTGTGTACTTAACAACTTTGCTGGAACTCTGACCAGCTGTTACAACCTGTAAACTCTTCTCCACCTCACCTAATAGACCCCTAGCTGTTCCTCTACCTCATCAGTCACTTCCAAATCTTCCTCACCTGCCTTCTTGTCAACATCCAACTCACTCAGATCTGTAGAAGATGATTCAGATTCTGATCCAGAATCTTCATCTTTGAACAGTCTCTTTAATTTGTACACTTTCTCAGAGACTTCCTCATGTCTTTCACCTCTCCATGTTCATTTTGCTCACCAGCTACACCCTTTCCCTTCTCTTTAACACCACTCACACTCTCTTCCTTCTCCCTGATAGCAGTCTCACCCTCCCCCTTTACAGAATCTTTGTTAAACCTAAGGCTTCTTCTACACACAGACTGAATGGGTTTCCTAGGCTTTAATTTTGTTCTAGGTTGAGAAGCTGAAGGTGGCTTTATGTCAGCTGTAGGTGGATTAATTTCAGCTGTAGGTGGATTACTCTCAACAGGTTTAACATTCCTTGGGCTCCTCCTAGTCACATGGGCTTTGTTTGGTTTTAGGATATTTGTTGCTCTAGGGTTATCTTCTAAATTAGAAAGTTGATATGTTTCAGATGGTATGGATTGAGAAGGGTGTGAATTGGGTGGCTGTGATCTAGAACCATTAGCATTTAAACTTGGGTCAGTTGGATTAGAATGGGATGGGTGTGACCCAGATGCAGAAGGGTTGGATATGGGTGGGTTATCTATAATAACCTCAGCAGGGTGATACCTGTCCCACTCTTACAGCCCCGTAGTTTGAAACAACTCCACATGTCCTTTAATATGTTTGGACTTTAAGAAGCCCCTAACATCATCATCATTGTCAATCCTCCTCTTCCCACTTGCCCAAGTCTTTCCCCTCTCCTTATACCACAAACTATAAATCTCCGGAGCCTCACTAAACCCTAAAGCTATTAACCCTTCATTACACAGAAACCTTAAATACATCACACTCCTCACATATGACACTGTAACAGCATACTTCCAATGAACAAACCCACCTTCATAAACTAAATACTTCTTCCTCCTTCTCCACAAACCCTCCAAATAACCTAAGCTTAATGTCAATAGTATCATCCTCACCATCCATGTTTTTCTACAATTAAATCAAGTAAACCATACAAAAATCAATTTTAAATTCAACCATCACAGAGCACAAACTGACAATGTAAAACAAACACAGCATAAAACATGATTGTACACCCAAACATGTTTAATTAATTGCATAATTAGTAAATATGTTAAGTTAGCGCAGAAATTTAGGGTTTACTAAAACAACAATGTTGTCTAAATTGCCCACATTAACAGTATTTTACTACTAATTCACCACCATTGATGCTTTGTTGGACCACTACAAGTATGAAAAGGAGCTCTTACATGTCAATTGATGTCAGAAGATTCTTCAAGCTTCCACTTCAGCAAAGAAGATGATGTTGCTTCCAGTTGGACCTCCTCCTTCAATCAAATTCTTCCACGCACACAAAGCCTAGATCTGAGGATACGTTAGAGAGAGAATCTAATTGACCAAGTGAAAGAGAGAGAAAGAAAGAATCGAAAATAAAAAAAGGGGAAAAAAGACTTCAACTTAGACAATTATGGAGGTTGAGAAAAATAAATGGAAGAAGAGAGAGAAATAGAGAACAGAGTTACGGGGAGATAGGGGGAGTTAGATGGAGGTAGTTAATTGGGTGGGCCCCACTACAATTCTTTAACAGAATCCGTTAAGTGGTAGTTATTTCTACAGTTAGTGTGTTTGAGTGATAGTAACATAAAATAAAAAAATAAAGGGGTAGCAAATATGAAATACAGTGCTTTGGCTGGTAGCAAATGTGAAATTTTCCTTTTCATTATTATGAATATGCCATACTGTAGAGAATATTTCAAGCATTACCCAAAACTTGAACCCCATTATGATCATACACTTAAGTACGGTGGCGTCCAAAGGGAAAGAAGATAGAGTAAAAGAGTCGCCAAAAAATTTTAGGAACTTGTAAACCGTTCACGAGGTGAAGGTTACACCCCTTAAAAACCCAAGATATCGTTAACTCCAATAAGTCTAGAACCAAGACTGGTAGCTAGGGGATAAAGGTAAAAATCCAACCTAAAAGAGATTGAACCTGCCCTAATAATAGGCCTCTACTTTATTATGATCGTATTCATGTGCGCTTTCTGACTAACATGCAATAAAAATGATTAACCCTAAACCTGTTTATCTATGTTGGTTGAATATTAATGCACAAAAAAATCTATTATTGGCGATCACTGGAATTATAATCAAATTAACCCTAAACAAGATTATTAATTATCTTATTAAGCTTAATTACAAGTACCTATTCCCTTTAAACATACATAAAAGGCGTGATCAAGCAATAACAATAAATATAATCAAGCAACATAATAATAATTATAATAACAATAATAATAATCATAATCATGTTAAAGCATAATAGTAGCAAGATCCTAGGCATGATACTAACAAGATTAATAACAAACCCTAGCGTGTCACTAAGCAATAAAGATCAAAGCTTTAGCCCTAACATGATACTAACATGAACATTAGGAAGAGAATAGGAAGCATCACAGGAAACACAATTGTCATATTTGATATAAGAATTTATAGTTTTTACCCTAAACATGATACTAGGAAGATCAAAACACCCTAGACATGATTTCTACATCGTAATATCAATAAATCAATTAAATCACTTACTTGGATGCCTCATATCTCTTTCATATAACAAAATACATACGTTAGTAACTTCAAGGAAAATAATAATAACAATTAAATTAAATAATTGAAAGAGATAATAGGGACCAAACCCTCTTAAATTAAAACCTTTCACGTCTAGGGTGAAGGCAACTTCGAACAACGCTAGGTGTTTCTAGATCTTGTGAATGCAAAATTTTGTATGAGAAAAGCTAGTTTAGAAAAAAGAGAGAATAAGCTTTAGCTTAGAGAGAAAAGAGAATTTGAAAACTAGAGAGTTGATGATTGAAAACGGAGATTTAGGAGGCTATTTATAGAGAAAATCGGACGGATGGATAGAAAAACGAATCAGAATTTCGAAGAGAATAAAACAAATTAGCGCCAGACGCCAGACATTAGCGTCAGACACCAAGCATTAGCGCCAGGCGCTAATCATGTCGTCAGGAAATAGAAAACATTTCCACGCGTTTTCTTAATTTTGATAAAATTTAGCCGTACAGGAGAGCAAAATCGTATTTTCCTTCAAAACAATTCTTTTATTTTGATTAAAACTCAAAAAAGTCAACTAAAGTCAATTTATCAATGTTAATTAAATTAGGAATGAAAAGAACCTTCTAGAAGAATCTAGAAGACTATAATCAATTCTAAATGCATTAGGAATGATAAATCAATATTAGGCCCTCCTCTAGATAATTGGGCCGCATATAAATATCAAATCGGGCCCAGTTTAATAATTTGGCCATAACTTCCTCATTATTCATCGGAATTGGGCTTATAATATATCGTTAGAAAGCTCTTTTTGAACCCGACCCAACTACACTATTATTGGACCCTTTCCATGGACCAAACAAATTTAATTGTCTATTTTCTTAAAATATGTTTTCAAAAACAGAGAGAAAGAAAAGAAATAAAAACTATCCGCAACACTAGACCTTCCACAGTTTCACTTCATTCGATTATGATTCGACGTGAAAGGTACTCATCAATGGGTTTTATTTTGGGGAGACACAAATGGGTGTCTACAAAAGCCCCCACTTTGACTGAGTTTGGAGGAATGCAAGTTTCGAAAACAAAAGTCAAAGTATCGATAGGGACGGAGAATGATTCAGAACTTTCTACGATCCTAAACCACTCTTGTAACGGCGATATCTGCTAACTAGCGTTAGATTAACAGATAAAAGAGTTAAGAAATGCGTATCTTGCACCATCGAGCACACATCTCTGTAGTAACCGATTTGTTGCTGCATTTGCTGTTGTTTGTTACAACCTTCTGCAAGCTAGGGAATGCCATCCTGCTGTTTATTTTGACGATCTTCTGCAAGCTAGAGAATACCGCCTGAAAACTGCTACGCCTGTAACTGTCTCCAATTTCGCCGTGATAGACTTCTGCAAGCTAGAGAATTCCATCGAAGATTGCTTCTCTTTAAACGACCTTCTAGCGCTTTGTGACCATATTCCGCAAGCCAGGGAACACGATCGAAGAT